GATGTCACTTCCTGAAACACTATGAATGCCACAGTAAGCCTCTCTCTCTTGCTCCCCCTCCACCCCATCTTCACATCTGCAGCTACCCTGTAGTTCACTGCTCTCTGTATGGGGATGCTAGCTTCCTCTTCCTACAGCCAGCTGGATGGCTCTCTGCCAAGTGGATAAGCCATAGCTTCCCCTCCAATAACATTCCTGAATTTAATTTCTTACTGGGTGATACTGTTCCTTGTGAAATTAGTCAGTTAAGAACAAACCTTCATTTGCAAGCAACCAGTGGGGATCCCTTTATACAGCAAGGCATTTACTGGAGCAATATGAGCACATATTTTGCTATGGGGAACATCAGAGTGTGCCATCTGAGATTGGTGCCCGTAATCCTAATCACAACTGCACATTGACTGCCATGGAGATGTACTGTCACACATACTGTATAGTGCGACATGAAATACAGAGGTCTGAAATAAAACTTCTTACCTGTTTGGTCCCAAAGAAAGACAAGGAATATTTAGACCACAGTTTGATCTTTATGAATAATCTGTATGCCCAGGTGACAGACAGACCATGTGCACATCAATACTACTAAGTCAGACCATCCTCTGGCATAGAGCTCATGTAATATTTTCTGTATGAAGCCTGTGGTCCTCTAAACGTAAATACAGGATGTGGAGGGAATGGCAAGCCCTGTGCTTTCGCAGGTGTCTCTGAGAAGGACGTTTTTTCACTAAGGCGCATTGGACAGGAAGCCTTATGCGTTATTTTTCTCTGCTTCATACATTTTGAGCTTCATAACAAATTCTGGGATACCTCTCTGGTGAATGGAGTTTGTCATATACCTGTGCAGTAGACATTTCTTATAATACAGACAGGTAGTAATCCGCACAACTTTTTGGTATTTTTTTAAAAACACTGGGGTTAAATTCAAATTCAAATTATTAAGACACTTGTATCTCAATTGCATCCTACAGGAAATTAAGCACCTTATTTTTTAATATACTTTAGGAATCACAGATATTTTTTTTCTTTGCACAACCAATAAAATAGCAGAGCACAGTAAAAATCCAACATGATACCAACACCCGATTTATTGCTGAAATTATTTCATTATTAGTTAAATTATTAGTTCTAGTAAAAGAGTGGGCAAGGAAATTAAGAGTGGCTGAATGATGATTAGTTTCTTGTTTGTTGTCTTCTTTTTATAGGAAGCCTGCTCAACACAATTTATTAAAAATAATAATATGTGACAGTATACAGTAATTGAGGTGTCGTCCTCCTTTGGCAGATAATCTTAGAAATCAACTTATATTTCTGGTACAGAGCTATTAAAACATTTCTAAACTGCACTGTGTGAACTAAATTGGAACCTTTATGTGTTAGTAGTATAATTCAATGCAACCCAAAGACAGAAGATGCTTTCAAGCATTCTCGCAGTGGGAGCATTAGTAAAAGTAGCTTTTAGAAAATGAATTATAGATCCTTTTATTGTTCAGAAGAGTGGAAGTTAGGCATCTGCAATTATTGGATTATGCAGGAGGCCTCAAAACACGATAGAGAGAGTTCCATTCTTCACTTAAATACACACGAAGAGTTAAGGCAGATTTTGAGATTAAGGGTCTTTAAAAATAGTAACAATATAAAAATGATTCACTCACAAGTGCTAAGCAGTATTAATGTTAAGTATGAATAGGAGCTATATTCTATGACAAAGACTCAAAATGTTACGCCCAGGTGGGTCAGAGCTCCAGTCCTCGGTTTCCACGGGGACTGATGGCATTTGCATGAGAACATGACTCTGCCCGGCCCCACCCACACCCAGTATGGCAGGCTCTCTCAGTCACTTGCCACCAACTGATGAGCAATCAACCAGTGATTTAATCCCTGCTGGCCACTGCCTCAGTGCTCTGTTATTCTGGTGTGAGAAGAGCTCTTGCACTAAGAGTTCTGTTTAGCATACCAAAGCATCTTATTCCATGGTCTGCATTAACCAGTGCCTCTCTATGTTTTCTGAAATCCACACTGGGGTGGTGGCAGTCCTGTTATCTGGGTTCTTTTCGTCACCACTGGGCAGCACAACTGTTTGGTTTCTCCATACTGTAAGTCCTTCGTTTATCTCCATTGCCAGGCAACATTTCCATCCCCTGTGCTTGCAGATAAATCCTCAGCTGGCCGTGAGCTTTTCAACTCCAAGCCACGGCATAACACATACAGTAACACCCATCTCTGATTCTCTGGCTAAACCAGGTCTCCCGAGACTCATTAAATTAGGGGAATTAAATTGGTCTAATGAAGCTTCAGTTAGTTACATTTAACCTTTTTCTACAGGTCGAGTTCTAACATGCTTACAGTATACTGTATGTGGTTTGTGACACTTTTGGTCCCTCTCAAAGTGCTTTCATCAACAAAATTGACAGAACTACTATAGATCATGTGTTCCCAATCCTAGTGCTGGGGACCCACACCTACTGTTTTTCAGTGCAGCTGAGCTCTTTACTTAAATGAATCCTGAATGGAATTTTCAGGAAAAGCTGGAGTCTTCTTTTTTTATTTTTGTTTTGTTAGTTTTGTTTCTTAAGTGACTTAACAAACAAAATAGGTAAAAGGTAACCTGAAACTGAAGACAATTAAAGAGTAACAATTAAACCTTTACAGTAATTAGGTCTCTTAAGGGAATAATTATTTAATAAAATGCTCAGCTGCAATAAACACCAACAGGTGAGTGGGTGTCCAGGACTAGGACTGGGAACACCTGCCACAGATAGCTGTCTTTGTGACACTTTGTGACACTTAGGTACATAGTTCCTTTAACACTTTAGTTTATAGTCAAATATTTAATTCTCCCTGAAATTCTATGAGTCTGAGAGCAGAAATCTTGAAAGACTTCTCCACTGTTCTCTTTCATAGCTTTATAATGTCAGCAATCATCAAGAGATTTTTTCCCGCTTTCACAAAATGTGGCTATGCTAATTTCAAGTAATAAATGGATATTCTATGTTATATCTATTGTATACACACACTGTTAAACATAACTTGGATATTAGAGCAAACTGTATTTGTCCAATTAATAAATTGTTTTATTTTTCTAGTCCAAAATCGCATTTCAGACCACTAATTAGCCTCAGGTCATGGTTCAATGTTACTCATTATTGCCCAGAACATAAATCACAAGTTAATTACTTATGAATTGGAGTTTTGTTATGGAGGCCATGATGAGTCAGGCCCATACCCCCTATGTAGCTGTCAAAACTATCCCATCTCCCCCAGCTTTTTCCTTAGCAGTGGTCATATGAAGGCCTGGATGTAATGGATTAGTACAGTGGCCTTTCACATTGCCCTGACAAGTCATTTCTCATTCACAACTCTCTGTGACACAGCTAGTCTCTGGTACCTTTCCTCAGCTGGAAGCTAAGCAAGAAGCCCAACATCTGCACTCCTGACCCTGAACACAATGTGATATTCTGTTTTAACAAGGTGCACCACTGAGGATAGTGAACCCCGTGAGCCTCTGCAATTAAAATACTGTATAACCACTTCTGATATCCATGCTGTGCATTTTTAATAAGGTGTGTCCTGTTCGTTCATTAAAGCCTTTTTTTGTCCCTCCATATTTCACTTCATTCCACACAATTTCATTTCACCCTTCTGTGTAACAAGAGTCATCCTGGTTGTGTTTAACCAAAGATGTTCATACAGACACATGTCCGTCTTTACTATATGATGAATGAACATGTCCTTGATAGTGTCACAAAACATTTTCAGATGAATCTGCTGTCCTCATAAGAGTGCTTTTGCAAGTGGCTTCTAATCTGCACATACTGTACTTGTTTTCTCACAATGTAAATCCCTACAAGAGCCAACTACTTGAGATGTAATAGTGCATAACACAGGTGTAGTACTTGCTAGAAGGATCAGTCCTTATTCTTGTTCCCTGTTGAATCCAGAAAGAAGTGATGTACCTGTACTTTATATCTTGCAATAACCCCATGTAACTTGATGAGGCTGCATTCATACTTTATAAGTATTATTTTACAGGGACACAGCAATAGAACACACATTAAAAAAGTAAAGCAGAATAAGAACAGTGCATTCAATTTTAGTTCACTTTTCCCCAACAGGCACAGACCTACTCTACTATTCCTCTGAAATGCAGAATATGTTTTACAAGCACTATGAAACTAAACATGTTAATACTAATACTGGAAGTTGCTACAGTACTAAAATATAACTTCATTTAAAGTGAATTAATTCAAACACTCATTTTAAAAGAGCCATTTACTGTAGGTTTCCCCAAGCAAAGATGAATTATTTGCAACGTGTATGGAATATGAGTATTATTTGTGCCCTGAAACTTAATTAAAACTGACATTTTTGTCTGGGAACATTTATACCACAAATGCTTGTCATTGGATAAATGGCCATTAAAGGAAAATTTGTTTAAAAGGTGAACCAAAATATACAACCTATCAACAGAAGGCGATTTAATGCAATTCAGGCTAATTTTATAATTAGTTATATTGTACATTATCTTTTGCTGTAATTTAATCATTTTGGGTTTATTTGAAAAGTAAAAACATTTAAATAGACTGCTCAGCTCTAAAGGGTATGCATGAATGAATTCATTTACAGTATGTTTTTCTCTACTTAGGCCTGCAACTATAATAGTTTTTTCTACAATCTATAATAATACTGTCATTTGTTCACATTTTCATGCTGCTGAGACTTTTTTAGTGGTTAGTTTATACAGTATCAGCTGCATTTATTACCATTGTTTAATGGAGAACTCCTCTTACACTAATAATGTTTTCTTCTCACTTTTCATAATTCATCTTACTGTATACTGTACTATAAATACTCGTAGCAACTATACTGACATGACAGACCTAGCTGTATAAACGCGTGATGAACAAAAGTGTGTGCTTTCTGTAGTTTATAACAAGTTTTGGGAGGAAGGTTAGATATTAATCTTGCACACTTCCGCTCTCCTATGTATGTCTTGTACCTAGGTCTTCCCTTCATGCATCTGTCTTGCATCCCTCCTACCACCCCATCTACACCCTTGGAGCAGCTCCTTAGCTCATTCCTCACTAGGAAGTGATGGAGGGTTTGGGCAGCCTCATACTCATGGGTAGACTCAGGTGAGATACAGTACATCCTTCTATTGCATTCATTAAGATCTAACTAAACTACACTTCTGCCCATTCTCCCCAGGGTCTCAATTTTAGTGTTAACCTCCTGTTCTTGTTCTGGATCCTTCTCCGGATTTTAACCCTGTCTTGTCTTGGATGGATCACCCGGTTTGGATTTTGGACTGTGCCCGGATTTCCTGTTTTGGACTTGTTAGCCTGCGCTCCCCCCTTGCACCTGATCACTACCTGCACCGCCCCCTGTTCACCCTTCCATTCCTGACTTAAAAAAAAATATTTTTCATTTATTTATTTTATTTAAATACAAAAAGGGAAAATACAACAAACGGAGGTATATACTGTACATGCAAATATACAGATGTCTCAACATGACACAACAAGGTAGCAACAAGTAAATGAAACAGGGGAAAAAGAAAAAAACAAAAACACACAAAAAAAACAAAAAAAAAAACCTATTTGTCTATAGTACAGAGGTTATGTGGTGTTAGGGGTTACATTACATTTTGTATGCTAAAAAACTTTTGTAGACCAACTCACCAGAGTTATTTATTAAACTTTTCAGTGATTTAGAGTATAGCTTGAATGAGTTAGAAAATTCTTTATAGCTAATAGGATTCACAAATGTTACCATTGTATAGCCAAGAACAAACAGAGTGCCAGAAAGTTGTTGAACATGTGTTCAGTTGTTTCAATATCTTCTTCGCAGAAGGTGCAGATGTTACAGTCAAAGTGGAACCGTTTTCTCAGAAATTCCTAACTGCATTTTCCCCGTAGCCCTTTTCCAGTCACTTCCGGATTATACCGTCTGCACAGGGTCCTAAACTATGCACTACATGGGAGTCAGGACCGGCTCCCATGTCAGAATCGCATTCTAAAAAGTCTTGAATAAGAAAGGCAAAGGAATGAATAAAGGCAGAAAATGTAGCTTTAAAAAAGTTTACTAAGTATTTACACACACTTCATTCTTTTGTATTTAGAAATTCATTCCATCAGTTTATAGATTTGCTTTGTTTGACTTGCCCATTTATTAAACTTTAAGCTGCAGTTCCCTTGCCTCATCTATCAATTCTCACACCTTCAAATGTCAGAGAGAAATTTTCACCTCCCAGAATCAGAAAGCAAGGAGGGCCAGAGTGAAATTTCAAGAGCGTAAAATGTGGCATTTGGAAAAAAAAATCTATGAAAATGATTTTTTTTAGAATCAAACCAAATAGCCTGTAAAGAAATGTATAACAATAAAGCAATTTTAGAGGCTTGCAAATAACTTTCACTATATTATACTGTACATTTAAGCTGAAACGTAGTGAAAACAAATGCATTATAGCTGCCCCAAGTGTTGCCATAGATGAAAAAGGAGCTTTTTTGAAGCGGGGGGGAAGGTTATGAGAGGTGAGGGGGACTTCTGTTTCTTTCACACAAATGAAAAAAGGATCCAGGTGAATTATAAAATTTAGATACAGTAAGACTGGTGACATTTTCAACTGAACTAAATACCAGAACTTGAAGGGCAGACAAAATACCTCAGAGCTAAACAGCAGAAAATAACATTTTTTAATAAATGAAAAATAGGATAATAATGTGGAAAAGTAATACATAAATAATGGGCATTTTATTATTATTATTTGGTAGGACTTGGAGAGGGTGAAATGCCCAATACTGCTTAGGGCACTGGACTGTTATCTGGAAGGTTGTGGTTTTGAGATTTAAGCTACTGTCTAGTTAGGCACTGTAGCAGAGTGGATGGATTGGAATGGTATAAATATGGTTGAGTTGCCAGAGGGTGGCATCACAAAACTTAGGCTGCGCCTGTGTTTGCCAGATCCCTTTATAAGCACTGACTGAAGAGTCAGAGTTTGTCTAGCGACCCTGGTGGCTTCTTGTGATTTAGTGAGCACTAGATTTCTGAGGCAATACTTCCTTAGAGTACACAGTAAACACGGAATTGTGAGTTTTTCAGCTTGTCAGAAATGACAGAGAATGTTCTGCACCACTGCAAAAAGTGCATCCTTGGCTCTCATAGATTGGTCAGTAAGCAAGAGTCCAATATTGCTGGTAACACAGATGTAGTAGGAGAGTAGCAGTTTCACAGATGCACACTTACTGCAGAGTAAGTGAAATGGTACATATTAATGGGAAATCCATCTGTGATACCAGCTGGTAACACCCCACGAGTACAGGTGAGTAACAAGCCACTCAAATTCACAATTAAACAAACCCTTCAAATTAACATTAAAAGAGAATCTGAGCTACTAGAGCATCAGATATTATGATCTGTATTAAAAGAGTTCTAATTTGTACAAATGGCATACGCTTGAGTGAACATTTTTTATGCATATGCAAATTTGAAGGTGAAATATAATATGAAGCTAAGAAAATACAAAGTCACTTTTGGGCCTGTGCCCTCCACATTAATTCATACCCTTGATGAAATAGGAATATAAAACTTCATATAGCAGAATGATAATGTGTCGTACTTACCCAAATGTATCCAATATCAGCAACGTTATATTTTGCCAACACAATTCACTGAGTTCCAGAAAACAATTATTCAAATCTCTATTATTTTAAATAAAATGCAATGAAAACAAATCAGCGCTATCATTCTGCTCTTTAAAAGAAGAATGGAATTCTCCATGTCTTACTGTATATAGGGATTCTGAAGGTTTCCCGTTTCCCAGGGGTATAAAAGGAAGTACAGTAACTCTTGAAACATTCACTAGTAGCATTTGCTGTCATGGTTAAGGTTTGAAGTTCCGAAGTTCTTTTAAGACTGTGAGCAACTGGTTATTGACCTCAACAAGTTGGCGGGAGACTAAAAATAGTCACAAGCAGGAATGTAGCATCAATAACTGGGTTACAAGGAAGAAGCCTTTTCTGAGGGAAACTAGAAAAAGAGACAGCTCAAACGTGCCAAACAACAGTTGAAACAATGTCTCCCTATCCGATGAGCTGACAACTGAGCTCTCTGGACAACGCTCATCAGCTTTATATATGGCATGCAGAAACTGACATGCCATCATGGCATTGTGGGTGAAATGGTGAAAAATTGTGGGTGATCTATTATGTTTAGTTGTTATTTTGCATCTATGGGTCTTGGACCTCTTGTCGAGATAGGAGAAATCAACTCCAACACATACCAAGACCAAAAATGGTGTCTATTAGTGTGTGGTACAGTATACAGTATGTAAATTGTTTTTCCAGCACCAATTATACCAGAGTGAATTTACTGTAGATGAAATGTACTTGGCGAATAAAGGTGATTCTGATTCTGACTACATCAAAATTAACATTCTAATTTTATACCATCCAAACATCAAGCAAAAATCCCTAATATCTGCAATAGTGCATACAGCCCACCATAATGAACACAAACAGCACAGGCTGCCTGGTACTGGCCAATTAAAGTGGAAAACACATACTGTAGCAATCATAGGCAAATTAAAACAAAAAGAAACAAGATCCCAGTATTAAAGTTTACCTTTGATGCAGTCTATTGTTCCCCAGAGAAACTTGTTATGCAAAAATGATGATATCAATGTCAAGGTTATTTAGAGAAAAACGGAAATGTGAAAAAGATTTAATGACAGTAAGTAAACAGAAGCCATTAATCAGGACAGACAAGTGAACAAGCTGTGCCAAGAGAAGAGTGTGCGCTCATTTGATTATCAGCTTTCCAAGTTTTTATATTTCCCAAAGGGTTAACTGGTGCTTGTGTTCCTCACATACATTTCTCAGTTAAACTTGAATAAACACTGCAAAACTAAAATGACGAAGGGTATCAAAATATTTATTCCTTGTCTAATAATTCAAAATACACACAGGCTATTGTGTGTGTTTAATCCCTTTGGGAAAAGAATTTGCACTTCCAAAGCAAGTTGGGTTATGAAATGTATAATACCTAAAGAATCTTGCTATAACACAGTTGGAGTATTCTTCTACCAAGGGAATGCAGAAGGAAGCAAATGTGCCAAAGTTTTTATATCCCTGGAGTCTTCCACCATTTCATAAAATATTAACATGATCTTGCCATCTTGCTTCAAAGCCATTTTAAATGGTATTTCAACATACATAGAGAAAAAATGGAAGACAATCAATTTGCTTCCTAGCATCACATCACAGTCAAACAAGGAAACACACTATGTTAAACAGAGATGATTCAATATGTTAAAAAATGGTACAAAGTATTTTAACATTGAATTAAATATTGCAATATATTTAATGTATAATATATTGAATACTAGTGCTACTATCCCAATGATATGTAATTATTGAGCAACACCTGACAATCAGACTGCAGCTGTCATGTTCACTCAAATACAGAAGACACTGCTGTCAGAACTCTGATTTTCAAAATGTTGAGATGCAGTTTATTAGCAAGGACAATGTGAGTAGACTCATGTAGACAGATGTGTTTCTTTAACACAGAAGTTTTAAGCAAATGTCATCTCATCTTAGTGATGTGTCTGACTTCAGTAAAGACCTTTTCCTAGTCCTGTCTGGCTCCAGTGGTTATAGGGAAATAGTTAACTGGAGTAACCAAACAAAGAAACATAACGGGTTAATAAAATTAGACTTTAAAAAATCTTTAAGAAAAATATGGTAGCAGTTTTATAGTGTCACCTAGATGACACTACCAATTTCCATATAGAGTGTAATTATAACTGCAAGTGCAGTATAATTAAACTGCAGTTACAATGCAGTTCACATTACTGTACCGCACCGATAAAGCCCTTCAAAGCACTTAGATACTGTTCGACATGTGGCTAGAGGAAAATTGATTTCTAAAACAAGCCTGGTGTAGCCATATTTAAAAGCCCTCAGTTCACTGCATACTTTATCATAGCAGAATAAAATGTCCTTAGTGTAATTAAATGCCATGAAATTTCCTTAAAAACATGATTTTGGGAAATAAGGTTAAATGGCATATGCAATTTTAATATGAAAAGGCATATTATACAAAAATTACATTAAATAAATGATGATAAATCTCATCAATACTTTGTACAGTCAAGTGTGTCGAGCCCAGTGATGCTCTTAACATTTTTTGTCTTTTGACAGAATGCATTTGCTTCCTCCTTCCCCATTGTCTCTGCTGCTGCCCTCCAGTACTGCAAGTGATTTAAAGGAAAAGTAACAAATTCTGCTGTGCAGAAGGCCAAGTTTAGTATGCATGCTGCTTTCTTAAAAAAATACTGTAAATCAGGCTCCCCTGTGGCTCCATGGGGAAATACTCTCACCTGACTGAGCACAGGATGAGGTCTGTCATGGGAGGTCGTGGGATCGGGCTTGAGTCATGTCACCAGCTGACTGTGACCATGATTCCCCAGGACTGTGACCATGATTCCCCACAATGGGTCAGAGTGCCTCTGAGGGTAAGGTTGGGATTAGACAGACAGCATTCTCTTGGCTCCCAGCATTACAGTGATCCCTGCAGTTTCCAAGCCCCCTGAAGGCTTGCGACACTGGTAAGGCATGTGCCT